TACAGGCTACCGCCATGCTGCAAAGAAATTTGTCGAAAGACAGCCGTTGAAATGTACGCGAAGCATACTCGGTATGCCATATAATCATTACATGAACCATTTTGTCAATATAGTTGAAGAATGAACGACCACTTCATGGTTGTTTACTCAAGACCAACTTCAAATTTTGGCGGTAGTCACCGATACTGCAGTCATCGTTCCATCGTTCTCTGTTCGTTAGAAGACGTAGAAATGCTATCAGAAGTATTATTGTGATTAAATGTTGTGACATTTATTCTTAGACCTTGTGTATAATAACCTCCTTGTTGGTTACATATGGGCGCAAGAATAAAGGATTCTTGAGTCGCCAATCTGTGTTTTGGTTTCTTTAGCAGTGTTTATTTTACAGGATGAGGTTGCTAGACTCATGCCCAACCTTTCCCCTTCACCAGCATTATTTCTGGCTTAGCGAGGTGGCATAGAGGTTAAGGCGATCGCCGGCCATGCACACGGTCCGGGGTTTGATCCCCGGCCGACGCACTCCTTTACCTCGCTAAGCCAGAAATGATGCTGGTGAAGAAGAAAGGTTGGGCATGAGTTTAGCAACCCCATCCTGTAGAATAAACACTGCTACAGAAACTTCAAGCCACTAGCTTGAAGCCCTATGTGTTTTGGTTTTTCGCGTTGGTTATTACACATTGTTGCTGAAAGTCTTCTAAGGACAGCTATAAGTCAAGTGTATTTAGATCTGGACATTGACACATATATTTGAGCGTTCTACCGCACAAGAAATACGTCAATGCTCAAGAACAATACTGAGCGAAAATTTTCATATAAATTCATCCAACAAAAGCAAAATAAGCACCAAAATCACGTCAACTGTGTTTGCCTGGACGACTAACCCCAACTCGAATCAACTAAGCCACGCAAATGCCTTTAAGGTAAAGCTAGAGGCGCCACTTCAAATAGGGGATATGCCATATAGTCGCCCGTTCCTCGGCCTAAGCGCCAACAATGGGTGTAGATGAAACTGTTGCATAATGAAGGCAGGAAGTAGGAAGATGGAGTCACTTTCGATTTTTTAACCATCGTCACGATAGTAAAAGAAATTTGGTGGTCGATTTAGCGTTCTCTGACTCTTTATGGGATCAGGTTAATGAATATTACTGTCCACCTCTAAAACTCGGAGTGCAACATATGGCTTTTGCAGTAAATATGTATTTCACTCGGCTATCTTTCGTCCTTTCTGGCTGTTTCAATAAATGTCTGCAAGCCTCAGCCTCCCCTCTACAAGACCGCTTCCATGTCATTTTATTTATTCCTTGTTAGTGTTTTACCCCATGATCTGGCGCGTAGCTATAACCAGTGGTCTCCGCATCACATATCCATTCCGCATTCTGCATTTGTGTATAACAGTCCGTCCTTTGTTGCTTCTTTGCTTCACTCCAACGTGGTTTATCCTTTCTGGACATCTAATCGTCAGTGCGTAGTAAAGGCAGCTGGTGATGAAAGTTTATAAACCGTTGAAAATGGTTTTCGTGATGCTCCTGACAAGTCTCTAAGCTTTTTGGGAACATTGAGCGAACACGTGCATGGAAAATTTGGATTTAGTCCCTTATGCTGAGTGATGTGGGCCTCCACAACCATATCAGGGTAACGGACGCATGTCTCGCTTTCCCCATTCTGACTCGAAATGATCATACTTACTGTTTGTGGTTGTAATGATTGTTACGGCCACTTCATGAATAGCCCTCTAATAAACGGACTCTCAGTCTTCGACTAAAATCCAAAAGCAAAACCAAATAGCTTCAAATAAGTTATGTCGATATGTTGAAGAAGTGAAGGACTATTTTTACGTTCAGCAATATGTATCAGATAAGCATGGCACGAACTCTCGAATATGAGATGAACCATAACAGTGCTTAAGAAAAGATCTTTTTAAACAAAACTTGCAAGAGACTACGAGTTAATCATGAAACGTTTATGGATTTATGGATAGATGGAAATGAACTAAACAGTGTAATTCCATTGTCGATAAAATTTATTTTGATTAGTCTCACAGTTTTATACAGTAGTGTTTTCTAACGACGTTTCTAGAACACTTTGTCGTTCATAACATATAAGATAGTGAGTTGTAAGAACCTCAAATCCAGTTAACTACGCTGCTTGAATGACTTGAATCTCGTTTCCGGTTGGTTTCAACTCGAAACGGCTCTCAAGATTGTTATTAGGCTATCTATTCTGCTAGACCAAAGATTTAGTGACCTCACCTGCTGACTCTTTAGCCTGGCCCACCTATCCTAGTGGCCAGGCTATTGGTAACACTGCCAAAATGGGGGAGAATGTGACACATACGGCTATTCACGGATATATTTACCAGTGGTAGAATGAAAGAGCATATATAGATACACAGCAACACCTTGACAATGCACCCCTAATGGTATCGCTTGAAAACCGCATTGTCCGCAGTCTGATCCATTCTGAACGGATTAACAAACTGACCGTTGGAAGCGAAGTGGCTTAGTAACAGCCGAAAAGACGAACTTCTTTAATTCTATATGAGAAGACTTTAGCAACGAAGACGTCGCCGGAACTTTCGGCTATTTTGTTGCACGAACGGCACAATTTTATTAAGAACGAAATGGGGCTATTTAGACATGCCGCCACCCAGTCCTAAATCCTGAAGGCCACTTTTTTAATTTAAGTCAAAGTAGCGAAAACCATGTAACAAAATCTTTTAGTCTTGACGACACAAGAAGACTTCTCAAAGAGTGTACTGTGGTCTTGTACATTGCATTTCTGCAGTATTTAGGAAAACTGCTCGGACATTTAGCATTTGTCGTAAGGATCAAAGTGTGTTGTTCTATCCATCTTAAAGTTAGTGGCTTTCAAAATCTTAAGTACCACTGACCAATAGCGTTGAGTTCTTGAAGTTGGCTGAGGAGATTATGGATGACCTACCTTGGAGTATATGTGTGAAGCTCAGAATGGCTTCAGAAAGGGCAGTAGTATACCTCTTAACTGCCAGAAGCACTGGAAATCCGGGTTGCGATTATTAATAGTGAAATATCAGACCATGTACTGTTCCTATATCATGCTAAGATGTTCGATTCTGAGTCAGATGAAATTCTCTTTCGATAACGGCAATCTGTCGATTTCTGGGATTGAAACATTCCTGAAAGATAGGTAACTTTGCAGGAAAATAGGTGGCATATATTCTATATGGAGGATATCACTCGATGGGGTATTTCAAAAAATTTTTTTAGGGACGTCATTTTCTGCAAGTTCATCAATGATGTGATAAGTCAGTTTACAGTTTACAATTTATTTAGGATAGTAGGCTATATGCCTGTGTTAATCCTTTCGATTTGTTACACATAGGAGGTCCAATCTCGCCTTGAATGAATCAACGGATGACGCTGATACGACGTGTTCCGGTAGGGAGTTCCAATGGTTCACAATCCGATGCGGAAAACGGATCTCCAGACGCAGACGATTCGACCGTGGTTTTTGAACCTTGAGGTGATGTCCTCGCAATTGGTTGGTGCTAGAAGGGAGAAATAAATTAGATAAATTTGCTCCAAAATCATTTCTTAGGATACGGTATGCTAGTATTAGGTCACCCCTAAGTCGTCTGTATGACAGTGGAAATAAACCCAGTCGACTTAACCTCTCTTCATATGAGAGGGTTGAGAAACCCCTTATTAGCTTAGTTCCTACTCTTTGCACCCTTTCTAATAAGTCTATTTCGTATTTGAAACACGGGCTCGCTGCCTGGATCCCATATTCCAAATGAGGTCTGATATAAGTCGGATATAATATACGAAATATTTCAGCGTCAAAATTCGCAAAAGCTTTGCGTATGGCCCATAATATTCGAAAACCCTTAGTGGCCGCAGCTCTACAGTTTGTTACTGTTTTCAAGTCATGCTGCACAACCACTCCCAAATCCTTGTACTCAGTGACCACTGGAAGAGTAATGCCATTCATTGAGTAATTGTGCACGTGACTATGAGATACATGCATAACTACACTCTTGCTTAAGTTAATCTCCAAGGCCCAGTGCTTACACCAATCACTTTACAAGTTTAAATCTTCCTGCAAAGCAAGTTGATCACTGTCATCGTGTAAAGCCCTCCATATCTTGATGTCGTCAGCAAACAGTAAGCAGGATGACCTAACTACCGATGGAATCTCATTAATATAAATCAGGAAAAGAAGTGGGCCTAGAATTTTACCCTGAGGAACGCCACTCTTAACCGATTCCCATGTTGATAAAACCCCGTTAACTCGTACTCTTTGTCTTCTGTCCTTTAGAAAGTCTTGAATCCAGTCGGCAACCACTTTATTGATTCCCAGACTACCTAACTTCACTAGAAGGCCTGAATGAGAAACCCTGTCAAACGCCTTGCTAAGGTCGATGAATATGGCATCCACCGGTATATTAGCATCAGCTGAGCTTGCCCAACTTTCTCTGGCCAAAAGAAGGTTGGTCAAGCAAGAATGACCTGCTCTAAAACCATGCTGTTCCACAGCGAAAAGTTTGTTCCCTTCAATGAACTGAATGATAGCATCACGAATTATTCTTTCTAGTAGTTTAACAACAATACTGGTCAAACTAACAGGACGATAGTTCTGAACTAAGTTTCTAGATCCGGTTTTGAAGACCGGACTAATGATGGCATCTTTCCAGTCTCTTGGACATTTAGACTGGTCCAGAGACATATTGAAATTTAACATGCTTTTGTCTACCAACAAGTATATTGCAAGATATTCATAGTGACTGAAAAATAGCAATCGAAAGGACCAAGTTCATTCACAGCAGCAGCACGGTCTCAACACACCGCATACTGCAAACCAAATGTAACCAGTTTCCATGTCATTCCCATCGGAGTCAACCAAAGCCGTAGCAGTCATATGGCTGGGCGAACTGCACAGTAGTTTATCGAAGATCAGGAAATTTTTTATGACAACCAGTAAGAGAGCCCGATGAAATTAATTTTGCTTCCACTGGGTTGCTACATGGATATTGGATATTGAATATTGCTGTTGGAAGGTCACGTGACCACTATTCTAGAATCTTCGACCGAAGTTACACGAAGAACTGGTTAGTTTCTGGCAGTTAGTGGTAGTTTTGATGCAAATATTATAAAAAACGACTGAGGCGCTTAAAAATCAATGAATTAGACTTTCGGTGTGCTACATTAAGTGAGGAAGTAGTTAAGCATGCGGATCGAAATTCTGCCCACGTTAACAAATGTTATAACTATAGTCAGCACTTTCTTTGAACTCACTGCAGAATTTTGGGGCAAAAAACTTCGGGTGCATTGCAAGACGTGTGACAGTTATCTGCAGTCTACCTGAGAGATTCTGCGGTGTGCACGAAGTCTGCCCCAAACATATAATAAGAATAGAAGGCTCTTGCTGCCTATGTTAATCCTTGCAGTACATATCTCTGCAGAGATCTAATTTCTTTTTCAAAGCGTTTACCGACAAAGCTGTTACTACTGAATCAGGTAAGGAGTTCCGGACATTGACCACTGTGGGAGAATCTAAATTCCACACGTGTCTTATTCGACTTTGGTTTCAGCACCTTTTTGTGGTGACCTCTTGAATTTATCCTAGAGGGGCAGGGAATTAGAATAGTTAATCCTCCTTCGGTATGATAATGGGAAGAGATTTAAATGCTCCATCTTATCATAAGGAAGGCGTGAGGTACTATTAACTAGTTTGGTTCCTACTCTCTTTCCAGGATATGTGCCTCCATTTTGAAGCATGGACTCACTGCTTGTATGCAGTATTCTAGATGAAGTCTGACATGTTGCATAAAGTACTTGGAACATACACTCGTCTAATCGTTTGAGAGCCTTTCAAACTGCCCATAGCATTCGAAAAGCCTTAGCTGCGGCTGCACTACAATTTGCCGTTGTTTTAAGTCGTCTTACAATAATCCCTGAGTCATTTTCCCCCTTAGCATCTGACAGTTCTGTGTCTCTCAGGGAATACAATGTGAAAGACTTCTGACCTAGGTGCATTAACGCGCCTTTCTTGTAATTAATTTGCAGACTCCAGAGGTTAGCCCGTTCAGCTGATTTTCTAGGTCGTTTTGTGATTCCAACCCATCACTAATTACAGTATTCCATATCTCAGTATCCGAAAATAATAAGGGAGATGAGGTAAAAATTTTCAGTAATTCATTTACGTGTAATAGGAACAGCAGGGGGCCAAGTACATTTCGCTTAGGTGCTTAACTCAGTACTGCTTTCCACCCTGATAGTACACCACTAACCCTTACCGTCTGCCTTCTATCCACCAGGTAGCCACTAAACCACTCACATGGGCGCTGGTCTAGTCCGAGACCTTTCAGTTTACTAATGAGACCTAAATGGGATACCTTATCAGATGCTGTACTAAAATCGATAAAGATAACGTCCAACGAAAGGTTCTTATTCCTGGCTTCGGCCATTCTTCCATAACTAACAGTATGTTTGTCAGGAAGGGTCGTCCTCGTCGGAGTCCACGCTGTTTCACCCCCAGTAAGCCATATCAGCTAAGAGCTGACACCTTATGATTGTTTGCTATATTGCATATCAGACTTACAAGCCGTTAGGAAGATACCAACTGACTGTCCCCATCTTTGAAGATGGGGCTTATAATTGCGTCTTTCCAGTCTCTGGGTAGCCTAGCCTGGGTCAGCGATATTTAAAGAAATACGCCAAGGACATTAGCAGTCTAAAGGGAAGTCTGTCAGTTCCAGATAATTTACCTGACTTCAATTTAGACAGTAGTTTGAGAACTACTGCGTCCTCTATCACAATCGGGGGCATTTTAGTGGCTACAGCAGTGACCTCGCTATACCCTTGAGTGGTACGATTAGACGAAAAGACATAAGTATTCCGAGAACTTTTCATCTTTTGTTTTGCCTGACTCGGCCGCTTCTCCAGTACTGCTCATACGATGTACCATTAATAGTTTTCGTCCTACGTTTGATGGAGTATTTTTGGATAATGTACGCAACCCAGTACTAACTGTTTCTCATACTCCATACAACTTTGGTCAGTCACATACACACAAAGGTTTCAAATTTTGCAGTAGTTCACCGAAACTCCTCCCTCCCTGTCACAGTAAACCGGTCCCATAAATTCTTTCGTTCTCTTAGTAACCTCTTTATTTCATAACTAATCTAAGGTGGTTTATGCGATAGTTTCCGAGGCACAAACCAAGAGTACACTGACGCAATCTAGCGTATTCCGAAATCCCATCCAATCTTTCTCGACAGTCTGGTGTGTATCAGCAGACCAGTCAGCTAGGGTTGCTGCACTTAAGATTGCAGGTATATTCGCTTTCCAAATGTTTGGATGAGCAGCTACTGACCTGTGTTTGACAGCGTGAATCCTAAAGGAAAAACTGATAACTACACGGTCACTACTTCCTAGCGGCGTAAGGCACCTAATGTCACTGACAGCCTCCTTCTGGTGTGTTAGCACCAAATCTAGAGTAGACAGATCATGTTCAAGGTGGTATCGTGTTGGTGCATGTATATTCTGCACAAGTGCATATTCAAGCACTCTTAGTGTGAGTCTATCTGTTTTCAACATATAACCTTGCACCGATGTGCAACAGTTCAAGTCGCCACACTCCATGTAGCACACAAAGAGAAAGTAGGAGAAATGCAAAATAGAGACAATAGACAGGGATATGAGACCAAAGGAACAGTAATAACGAAGAACAATATAGTTTCATTGGAAATTATAAGTCATAAAGAGTGGATGCATCTGCGTCATTGAGAACGATTTTGAGCCATATCACCGATTGTCTCCAGCCATTGGTTTTTACCGTCCCGACGACCCCAACCAGTCAGTCAGGAAGTCTACATCTTCCTACGTGGCTGGCTTAAACTAATTGTTGTGGATTTCATTGACTGGTGCTATGTTTTGGTTTGACCACCCCTACCTCTTTTCCAGCATGACCTTATGTCAACTAACATTGTCCGTCGAGGAAGGCGATGACTAGGCATGCGTAACACATATCCTAACCATCTCAGTCGATGTAGCTTCACAGCCTCGTCGATTGATTTCCCCTCCTTACGTAGCACTCGAAGCCTAACCTCAATATTGCTCACCCTATTGCACCACTTCACACGGGAGATAGAGCGCAGGCACCTGTGATCAAAGAGAGCTAGTCGGTTTTTTCATGTCTTCCACTCTCAATGGCCAGGTCTCAGAGCCATAAAGGAGGACGGAGTGGACTGCTGAGGAGTACACCCGCCCTGTTGAAACACGTATACAAGCTAGTGGATGTTAATTCCCCCCAGTTATATGCGGGGCATTAAAGTCACCTACTAGTAGACACCTATTTCTACTACTCAACGCCCTGAGGTGATTTGGTAAAAAATCAGCTTGTTTGACAGGACTTCTATAAATAACCCGAATCATCACACAACCCTTGTTCAAGTTAATGAAGTTAATGGGATAGATAGATGAAGAAAAAGTTGCAAACCTTCCTGAATACTTTTGTGGTGTTTTGTCATCTGATCGTACCACTTAAGGGTTTAAAGAAATCACCGTCATCACCAGTCAGTGCCTTAACTTATGGTAGATGATGCAGTAGCTGTTAAACTACTGTCTACATTGAAACCAGGGTCTGATGAACTTCACTCTACTCGATTATTGTACTTGGAGGATATGATTTATGTACCAGTTACGTTTTTGTTTTAGGATGTTTCTGACTCATGTTAGGCTGCCCGGGGACTGAAAGGATATAATTATAAGCCCTGTCTTCAAAGATGGGGACAGTCAGTTGGTATCTAACTAACAGCTTGTAAGTCTGATATGCAATATAGCAAACAATCATAAGGTGTCAGCTCTTGGCTGATATGGCTTACTGGCGGTGAAACAGCGTAGATTCTGAAGAGGACGATCCTGCCTAAGAAACTTACTTACTAGGGAAGACTGGGTAGAGACCAGGGATGAAAACCTACCGCTGGACGTCATTTTCGTCGATCTTCATAAAGCATTCGACAGTGTCTCAGTAAACTAAAAGGTTCCAGGTTAGACCAATGCCTATGTCCTACTCGGGACCCATGGGTACAGTAATGTGTATGTGAATAGTTTGTAGACTACCTACTGGGTAGAAGGCAAAAGTTAAGGGTTAGGGGTGTACTTCCAGAGTGGTAAACAGTATTGAGTAGAGTACCACAGGGCCCCCTTGTCACTTCTGTAATACGTAAACGAACTACTAAAAATTCTTACCTCGTCTTCATCATTGTTTGTGGACAATATTAGGGAGAGAGAAACTGTAAATAGTAGTGATAATAGATCAGTCGTACAAAGTGATCTGGATAAGTTAATTGAGTGGAGTTTGGAAATTGATTCCAGGGAAAGAGCGGCAATGCACTTGGGTCAGAGGTCTTGCAGGTCGTACTCCCTGGGGGACAGAGAACTGTCAGATGTTAAGGGACGAAACGATTTGGGAATTATTATCAACAGCACATTGTGATGCAGCCTCGGCTAAGGCTTTTCGAATGCTATGGGCACTTTCAGAAGGCTTTGAAACTACTAGACGAGTATATGTGTAAAGTACTCTACGCAGTATTCCAGGCCTCATCTAGTACACTGTATGCAATCGGCTAGTCCGTGGTTTATGGAGGCACGTATTTTGGAAATAGTACAGTGGTGTCTCAAACCTTCCGTATGAGAAGAGGATGGAGCATTTAAATACGTGTAGAATTTAGATTCTAATATCGAGTGGTCAATGACTAGAACTCCCTACCCGATCAAATAATATGAGCTCAATCGGTGAACGCTTCCAAAGAGAAACTAGATTTCTGCATATATATTGCAAGAACTAATACAGGTCACAACAGCCTACTGTCCTTTATTATTTGAAACTGTAATAGCTCTGATGGACATAATCATGCCTGTTCATTGTAAGTCATTAAGGGAAAAGTTTAGTTCTGGTATGTACGGTGAGTAGTGTGGGTAGACCTGTAGAATAACCGGTGAAACTATTTTCTAAGCAATAATGTCTAACCTGGCAACATGATGACTCACTTTGGCTATTAAGAACTACTGTATAAGGAAGGGTGCGGTTAAGCGTAGGTTGTTACGAGACTGTGGAAGTGGTCGTATAAAAGTCGAATACGCGGTGTGAATGTACAGCGATGCAGCTAGTACATGCTGGAGAGTTATTTGTATTTTATATTTGGTATCCTCTTGTGTTTATCATTGAATTTTTGTGTATATCCATTCTCCTCCCGCGCTAAAAAACTGTTCATAAGGAAAGACTTAGTGATGAGTTTGTTATCGTTAGAAAGTGTTTGATATTTGTCCATTCATTGATATCTGTCATGTTCCTCACAGTAATACAAGTAGTACTACTAGTCAGAGTAGGAACGTTAATGCCCTCACCGATTTGAGTTTATAATCGCGTCTATCTGAGGCAGACGTTCACTAGTAGACTTTCATAATATGTTTTGATGTTTACACTGTAAAATGGGATAAATTTTACCTAAAAAAACATAGTGAACTGAAAGCAGGCACAGTAAAAAAAAATGCTCAATATGATAGAATAGCACAAAATACAGATGCTTGGACCTTGTATTGGGTTGTCGACATTCTTGATGTTTAATTGTTCAGACAAACAGTGAAACGCATCGTAAACTTACCTTGGCATCATGGCATGAACACCTTCAGGATTCCCAACGTTGTCACCTGTGACTAGTCTAGTCTCTTGATGTTCAGTGGATATCCAAACTGCATCACCTCCCTCTGAAACTATTCAGCTCCTAGGTTTTTCACGAGGTAGTTCCGCGACGTTAGGGCGGCTTCAGATGCTTGAATTCCCAAATTATCTGTCTTCATTAGCTTTTCTGTGACTGTACGTTGGACTGAAGCAAGCTTTTACACATCACGCTAGGGTTGTAGTAGGCACACATTTATTTCACTCGTGATCTGAGTAATACAAGTAGGTGTTAGTCAAAAACTGTGCTCATACTCATTCATCTGACCTGTAACACCATTTGTCAAGCTTTATGCGGATTTTCAAGGAGTTGAAATTGACTGCTTTAATTACTTCATCTTTCTTAAAAAGTATAGCACCTGTACAGATTGTAAGAATTTGTGTGAAGAGTGGCTAGTAATAGTTGTATTTGAAGCGCATGTTTTGTCTGGCTATTTAAATAGTAACAGCGTAATCGACGGTAAGAGGTGGCTTATTGATTTGAAAATCTATATTTCAGCTAGTCGCGTGGGACTCCAAATCCCACTCTACTATTTCATCTTCTGTGACTGAGTAGTAATATTAACCCTAACTTAAAGAAAACTATGAGGGGAGTTTTGTAAGTCTTGGTTCGTACTCGGTTCTGCCCTCCTTACAATGCCAATTTCTACCCACTATATTGTCTTGGTTGCTATGATGTGATGTTGGTCAGTGGTGTAAACACTGGACCTCCAGTCACTGGCTCATGAGCCCTGACCCGCATCCACTAACCCAGTTTTAGGAGGACAAGTAGTAATATTAACCCTCACAACAAGCATGGCTCATTGTCAACCGCATGCAATTGCAGGTGGTTATTAAGTAACATTCCATCTGTATTCTTTACTGGAGTCTGGTGTGAATAAGGGTAGCTATCAATATCCTTAGGACTTCTTTCAATTCTATTTTATTCTGCAACCATTTTCATTCCTGCCTTGTTTAATACTTTTTGTTAGGTTACCTTTTTTGCATATGTGAACAGATAATCTAGAATTTTCATCAGATTAAAAATGTTTGCGTGCAAATTATAGTACATTTAGCATCGAATTCATGCAGTGGTGTAGTGATTCCATGCACCCTTAAGAATTTCCTCTTTGTCTTACCATTTACTTCATTTTGTAGCATAATGCTGGTCACTGCAACTTGTTTGCGTCGTAGTCATCATGTCTTGAAGTTGGCTAGTCAGATGCACAATTCGACACCTTTCGTTAAACCATCTTTATCGAAACAAATTGTTCGATCTTTCCGAATATTCCCGGTGGTCAATAATTCAGTGCGCAGACGTGCAGGACGCATCAATCTAAAAGCAGAGTCTGAAGATTCACTCAGTAAGTTTTAGAAGTCATTGTAACCTTCTGTTTTTTCGCCTTTCTGATCATTTCAATAATTATTGCACTGAATAGTCTGAGATTTTCTCACTCCAATTCTTCATGGTCCTATCTATGTGAAGTTTATTTTTATGAAGGTGTTTTTTGACAATTGGTAAGCGCGGAATCTACACTCAAGGCTTCCTGCCGATTAATTTCTAACAAGTAACATCAAATTTTAGTTCACTATAGCGCATTGTTGTGTTAATTAGTTGTATTGCACAAAGTTGGTGGGTTTCAAGCAACATGCGTATGGTGACTGCAACAGTTACCATTTGAGGGTTAATTCAGGTACACGGTTTCCAATCACCAGGGAGGGGGATTAGTCATGACTTAAAGTCTGGAAGTTCGAAGGGTCAAGTCGTATAAACAGTTCCATCTGATGTCATTATATAAGCTATATTGGTAACAATTGGAAATCATAAAACCGAGGTTTTCGGCTGCCTGCTAGTTGACTCTTAACATCTAAATGCATACAAAGGTTAGTAGCTAGTTTCTGATTCTTTCTATATGTCAGTGCTTGCGATTCACATACCAGACGGTGATTTCCCACTACTTAACGCGTTAGTGGCACAGCGGTTAAGACGCTCGCCGACCATGCACATGGTCCGAGGCTCCTTCAGAAAAAAATTTCAGGTCAATCTACCTTACACATTGTAAATATATATGGTGGGATTTGTTAATGGAAGTTGAAATTAGTTCAATAAGCAATCAGTGTTTGCTTGATTGTTTGATGCAGGTAACATGCACAACGTGCAAAAACAACTTCAGTTTTAATTAAAAAACTGCTACCGGAGGTCACAGCGTCAAATTTGGGAAGATGTACTACCGGTATTTGTTGATATTGTAAACGCATCGTTTATCCTTTAGTGCAAAACTCTAGTTACTGCTTGCCTTCTTACTTTTGCAGCTGTGACTTATCTTTTGACTCTTTAGCGATAAGTTGTAGGCCCAAGTCCTAATTTGGAGGTTGTGGCAGTCAGAAAGTATTCCCACCAGAATGAAATGATAGGGAAATAAATCCATCAAAGGCATCCTAAAAAAGCGTGGTGCATCTTTCTTAAAAGTTATTTGGACTATAGTACATAAACTTACCATCACTGTATTCCTGTCGGGGTTTTGCTCTGCAGCTTAATTTCTTTTAGCTTTCCAAGTGCAGTACATGGTATACTGTCACTGTGTTGTGGGGTCCCTGTTATTTTTATGTATTTTCTTTTTCTTTTTCCAGCTATTGATAAAAATCGAGCTTTAATTGGTGCAGCTGCTGCAGTCGGTATTGGAGGCCTTTGTATTTATGGTTTGACTGCAAAAGATGGTTCGGTTTCGGCGTTTGATCGATCAGTTGCATGGCCAGATTACGTTAGACAGCGTATTCGAGCAACGTATGGTTACTTACTGGGTAGTGCTGCAATAACAGCTGGCTCTACACTTGCCTTTTTCCAGTCTCCGGCTATGTGCCGTTTAATGCTGAGTGGTGGATGGCTCGCTCCTATTGGAATGGCAATACTAAGTATGGGTGCAGGAGTTGTATACCAGGTACCTTATTATTCATTTGATCATTTTAACTACTATTTTTGCCATGAACATGTACCATGTGTCTTGGTTACTGAATCGATATAATGTACTGAGTTTTAACTTCCCCTTTACTGGGTTAGGAATATGAACCTGTATTGGCTTAACAAAGCGTTGATAGTTTGATGGATCGGTAGTTCTTCTCACAGTGAAAGCTTATTGAGTCCAATTATCTTCTGTATTAAGTAAGAATGAGAATAAGGAATGCAATTTTTCTTATTTTGTATATTACAGTGTTACTTTAATAAATTCCTGTACCATTAAGAAGTGAATTATCCTTTTGTGTGGATTCAAGACATCGTACACAAAGGAAAATGTACTAATGCCATATGGGCAATGCTGAAGTTCGACTAAATTACAAAAACATTAAGTGGATGCGATGATTGCCTCTTATTCCACATGCCCCTCCGCTTTATGTTAGCACAGTGAAAAAGAAGGTGGAATGTAATCAGACCAAGACGTGTTACATCAATCCTCAAGGTTAACTAAATGCATAGTTGTGTTTATGAGCAATATGCCTCAAACCCGTTGGTAGAATGGATTAGACAGATTCACATCCTATCTTCGTATGAATTATATACACTTCCAGTTCTCTCTTTACTCTATCTTTTCTAATTTTTGCCATATAACCTAAAACCTATGAACTATCACATCTTCTCATTTACTTCTATTTCTCTCATTTAAAATGCAGACATAAGGTTAAGCAACTTAGCCCGTGGTGCCGTGATGCTCGATAATGTTTATCAGTGTCAGTCAGTCACTTATCATTAAGTGTATTCCGTAAATCCTAAAAGCTAAAGGCCAAAAAATTTGCATGATATAAAAGTCTTATACCACATCACTATCGTTTCAGCTAAATATATTTGCTAAGGTACTTTCATACATAGTGGGAAGTAATTTTTCATGTTTCTGTCTGCATTTCTCCGGGGTATGGCAACTTGGACTGATATACTTTTCTTAGACTTTGGCAGGTCAGTCAGTCACCACTGCATTATTATTTCTAATAACCACTCATATGTTCTGTTTTAGACAAGTGTAGAGTGATTGTGTATACACTTAATAAATCAAGTTTACTCATGTGTTATGTTTAGACTCATACTATACTAGCTTCTGTTGATAATCCGTATTTCTGGTTTGTTAAAACATGGAGTCCATCAGACCTTCCTAAGTATAAACATAACATTGGGTGTTTCAGCATCAAATTTAGTTCTACAGCCGAATCAGATCATTGTGCGGTGGGGGGGGGGGCGGGGTCTCCGTTTGCCTTTCCTAGTTTTTTTTGTTAAACGTCTTAGATTTGCATTATTTGCGCCTTGTCTATCAGTAAGAAGTTTCTATTGCCTCCAATCTCCTAATAAAAAGTGCAAACACACACGCACACATTTATAACTGGTGAAAAAGAAATAGAAACGAAATCAAGATAGGATGATTAATATCCTCATACTGAAATACGTCTTAAGGACATTTTGTTAGTGTAATAGGTGAATAGAATTCCATGTGACCAAAAGAAAACTTCATGATTGCGGATTATTACCTTAGTTCTCATCTCATACAAGCCACATATATTGGATTAAGTCAGAAGGATTTTCAAGAAATGCAATATCTGAGTTGTCTTTGCAACTACGAAATGATATCATCTCGCGAAATTTGTCTTCTAAATGCCTTATTCAAAGATATCTTTTCGTCGAGTTCATCCTTGAGAACAGATGTATAATCGCATTTACATACATCAGTTTACCTAGATACAATTATTTAATTCCACATAATAACGAAGGAGATTAAAGGTGATAATAGTTTTCAAATTGATCAGAGAGTTTGAAATTATGAATACAGACTATGGAGGGGGTTTAGAAACAAAATTACACATGATTAGAAAATAATTGTGTTGTATGTACAGTACGGTTTTAACGAATACAGGTGTTAAACGACATGGGCATGGAAGTAAATTGAGAAAATAGTTTTTTTTTAATAACTGAATTAAATACGATTGTACAGCTTTTGAGAACGAAATCGCCGAAACGATATCCGTTTGCTAAACTTCTTGTTCTTTTATCTCTAATTTTATTCACACACATATGGTAAGAAGTACACTTAAAAAGAAACACAGTTAAACGTGTAAAGTTCATACATTTATCACACTTAACATGAATATATGCACATATTCCTTATCTTCTAAACTATTTGGGTAACTCAGAAAATTATTGAGTTACAATATAAAAATTTTGATATTGTAAATTCAAAGTCTACCATTGTTTAGGTAATCCCACTAGCAAGGCGTCAGTAGAAATAATTGTCTTTCATTCATTGGGAGATATAAACCCCAGGAAGTTATATATTGTGTAGTGATAATTCATAGTATTAAGTTGGACAACATGCTCTTTGCTGCAATCAAAAGTCAACAGATACCCTTCTTATGTTAGCTCTAATTGTGTATACAAATTTACGTATATCTGCGATAATAGTTACATTAGGCGAGCAGAAAGAAGAACACACCTTTGATTTCCTGAATGTGCATCAGAAAGTCTATCTTTCAAGGGGACAAACACTTTCAATAGTGCCATTGCCAGGCATCTCGTCGTTACCCTGAAATCCTTTAAAATTACTAAACAGTTTAGTTCACTTCTCGTCAAGTTTGCCGAAGCTGTCGCTATCAAATTCCTGGAAGCCGATTTATGTCTTCAGGAAGAAACAGTTATCAGTCTTTCTTTGTCCTGGAAGCCGGATGTCCTTACTCTCCCTTTTATTTGATTATGTGGTCTGTGGATGTAACCTCTTTCGCTTTCGTTACAATGTAGTTTTGCTAGTCTCTTGTTTCTATGATTTTAGTCAAATTCACCACATTGCTACTCAACGTATTACTTATTCATCTTATCTCACCTCTTGTCTTTATTACGCAAATCCTTTTCCATTGTATCCAAACACTTGATTTCTGTTTTGTCCTAAGCTTTAATCTTCTGTGTTTAAGTTGGATAAATGTAGTTTCTGAGAACTATTTATTAATTTTGAAGTCTCTTATTAACTAATACCATGTCACCTTTGCAAGTACGTTAAGAGTGCTCTATAAATAAACTGAATTTCTCTAGGTTGTGGGCGGCTGATGATGAGAAGCCAATGAAGTAAACGATTGTACCATCACATATTCTGTATAAACTGTTGTTTTTACTTCATTCAAATTCCTAAAGGGGAATAAGTGTATGGGGTTTGTTACAATATGCTTCATACTATTTTTGTCAGTATTATATATCCTTTTGCTACTATCTTCTTCAACTGGAGAAACTTCAATACGTCTGTTAAACAACTTCCGCCTTATGCAGAATGATTTTAACATAAAAGTTTTGTATTTTATGGTTGAATTGGTGTCGTTCATATTATATTCACTCATTAACGTGCTCAGCAGTTCGCCCCGTCTTCGTTTATGGCTGTCAGTGAGACATGGCCACTGAAAGTGGAAGATATGAAAAGGCTGGCTAGTTGTCCTTGATCGTAGGTGTCTGCGTTCTATCTCCCGTGTGTGTTAAGTGGTATAATAAGGTGAGCGATGTTGAGGTTAGATGTCCAGTGAGTGCTGGGTAGAGAGGGGAAATCACTCGACGAGGATGTGAAGCAGCTGCATCGATTAAGGTGGTTAGGACATGTGTTAGCTGACTGACACAGAATCAGGTTGGAAAAGATCTACTGATGGTCAAACCGAAACACAGCTTCATCAATCAATGAAATCAGTAGCAGTTAGTTTAAGCCATAAAGGGAAGTGTAGAGTTCCTGACTGGTCGGGGTCCTAGGGATGGTAAGAACCAATGGAGGCTGAAGACAATTGTTGATATCGCTCAAAATCCTCGGTGTCAATGGCTGGCTCAGATGCATTCACTCTTTGTGATTTGTCATATCCAATAAAACTATTTATCTTTCACCATATTACTCTTCTTTTTGCCTCATTCACACTTTTGTTTATCTCTCTTTTAAACCTCCCTTTACTCTCTTGTCTTACTTTGTGTGCTATATGGAGTGTGGTAACTTGAACTGCTGCACAGCTATGCAAAGTTCTACGTTGAAACCAGTCAGTCAGTGCCCTCATTAACTGTAAAGTAACACAGATAACCAGCATTCCAAACACGGTGTTAACGAAACTTGTACTTACGTCACATATGTGGCGTTAATTCACTAGATTGGAAGTTTCTTTTGAATTTTGTTGATAATAATGCTTGTCCCTTTATGCTAATAATCTGATTTTAATGTTTTTCTTTTTGTATCTTTTGTAGTCAATTTCTTACCCAGAGTCTGGTTTAGGTGCTAAACACTTGGCATGGGTCGTATATTCTGTTAGTTTGGGTGGAATGTTGATGCCTATCTGTCTAGTTGGTGGACCAATTCTTACTCAAGCGGCTTTGTACACTGGAGGTATAGTGGGTGGTCTTTCATTGGTTGCGGCGACAGCACCATCAGACCGTTTCCTCAAGTGGGGAGGTCCTTTAGCTATCGGCTTAGGCGTGGTTGTTGTGTCATCAGTTGGTATGTTTTATTGTGAAAACTGTATAATTATACGATTGGTGTTCTTAAAATGTATTGATTTTAGAATATGTTGAAATAATTATGATTCTAAATCTAATGTTTTTGGTATATTCACAAACATTTTGTTTAATTATTAGTAGACTGTTTTTAGCATGGTAACGTGGTTTTACACTTATTCCAATGTCTATCATTCTTTTTTTGGTGTAGTGTGCGTTTCAACACAACTAAAGACATTCAATGGAGAGTCGCTTTTTTAGCAACTGTGTAGAGTGAAGTAACACAGTACGTAGTACTGATGCTAGATGTCAGGTTTGAGGAAAGTAATGCCAAAATAATTGGATAAATTGTCACCTGGATACCTGGGATGTAGTGCGCATACCCAACGAATACTTTCTTGAACGAGTGAAGTATTGACCGAATTAAGATTATGTTAAAAAGTTGTGGTTTACACAAAATATTCATAAAAGCAACTTTTTGCACAATAGTTGAAAGTTATAATGTTAGCAAATGAATCGTGAGTGGTTTTCATCTTTTCTCATAAATCTTTCAAAACGATGGTATCTCAATTGACTAGGAGTTTAACAAGATCATATGTTAGGAGTCGAAAAGGTTTCCAATAAGTACTGTTATACGTCGAAATACGTCTGAGATTACAACACTACTTATTTTTAATACATAATAGAACGACAAGTTCTTTGAAATCAAGTTTCGGCTTATATCTTTAGTGCAGTTTAAAAACTTATCTTCTATCTCTGCTTGTTTCTTTATTTTTTCAGGTTCCATGTTCCTATCACCTGTCAGTCGTTTGGGATCTGGTCTGGCGTCTATCAGTCTCTATGGTGGTCTCCTTCTCTTCTCTGGATTTCTGTTATACGACACACAACATGTGATTAAACGTGCAGAGACACATCCACCTCCAAATTTCTATTCCCCTGCTCTGTCTCATCAAACGCGTTTTCAACACCCAGAAACTTTGAAACCATTCGATCCAATCAATAAGTTAGTTCTCTTTTTACATGACAAATGATGTTTTTCTTGTGCAAGACATAGTTACATTTGTTTTTGGAGAGCCTTTGTCCTTTGTCACTATCAAAAGGCAGCCGAGATAACATCTCACTTCACATTGCTAACCGTACCATCTCAAAGAAAGGGAATGCAATGACATGTCGTAAATACACTGAAGTTTGAACTGAAAATTCCTCAGCTAAGTTCTTGTGAATGCTGGTGCTCATCAGGGGAGCTTAATTTGGGTTTCGGAGAAATCTATGCTTAGAGCATTTTGATAGAGTGACAACTGGGTTCACAGTTAGGGACTTTGTCATGTTTATGGAATTTCTAACAGGTTGCTGTTAATCATTCTGTATCAATAGCGTATTCACTAATCAAAGCATGTAGGTGGTCGCCGTCCTCCATATTTGTGTATTGATGACTTTTATTAAGGGTTTGTTGTCGTAAGACTCAAAGTTATGTCACTATGAGTAATGGTATTCTGTTTTCTGTATCATTACTTCAGCGAACCCCATTAAGTCAAACGACCAGTTTAATTAGGCGAGTTTATTGTCGGATTTCCGTACACCATCCTGCATAGTGGTTAAGTAAAGAAGAAACAAAATCCACTCATAGCTCTATTTTATCTCTTCTCGTGTACACAGAATACAAGAATGATGTTAACGGTGCTTTCAAAGTTACCTACCTTATACCAACTAATCTTAACTCCACCTTAAGACTTCGTTTACTACATATTGCAGAGACTGTTTGGATCTGCATTAAGAAACCTAACTTCTGTATCCAAAAGAAGATTTTGGTTCAGACGCTCTCCTTACCTTGACCATCAATGATCCTTAATTTATTGTAGAAATTTTCTTAATTTTATTTGACGTTCTCTTTAGTATTACATTTTTATGCATATTATGACAATTATACTAGAGCATTATATATATATATATACATATATAAATATATATATATATTGTCGAAAAGGATATTCTTCGCTCAACTTTTTTGTTTCTAGAAGTTAGGAGCACACAAGCTACTTTGTTGCTGTTGGTATAATGTTTCAGATTAGTGTGTGGAGAATAATAGTAATATGTTTGAGGAGATTGTAGATAGTTTTCTGATGTGAGCATCAGTTTGCTCTACATATTAGAGACATAAGATACAAATGTGAACCATTTGTTTTGATGAATACTAGTGGACTATTTATGGATTTGTTTTCTACTCCTTCCATTTTAGTTCCATTCGAATTCTTCTGGATGCTGTGAACATTTTCGTTCGTATGGTCGTAATATTATCAGGCGGTGGACAGCGTAGAAAATGAACACCATCGCAGATATATTCACCAGATATGATTTCATAACTTTATTCTTTTGAAATGTAGAAAACTGGTCGCATCCATATTGTTTGCGTTTATTGCAAGTGTGTATCACAACACGTAATATAATAAGTTCCGTTCCAATTTTACTTGTTTGAAATTATTGATCTGAGTGTATAAGGGACGTCTGTTATTTGCTATTGCCTTTTTCGAACTATAAAGCAAGTTATGTTTGAGATAGCTTACCCTTGTCATTCGTTTACCGATTCCCTTTTCAAATAATTCCAGTTTTCTGTAAGAATTACAGTAACTCAGGTCTTTGCGCTTAAATTACTTAAATTACGCCATCACAGCATTATTATTGTAGTATGCTAAGTAAACTGATAATGAATGACACTTTTATCCAAATTCGGGAAATAATTCTGTTTTATCGTTGAACATTATGTAGTGAATACTTGCAGTTCAGTTTGTTGTGGTTCCGATAGCTGCCTCGTCGTAAGAGTTTAAGTTTTCACTGGTAGACATCCATCCAGGTGCAGTCTTCAACCTACCTACTTTAGGAAGTAGGACGTTTCTCATTGGCAGTATAATGGATAATTCTTTACGTAGGATCACTCTTCGTTTTCGCGAATTCTCCGATTCATCCTTTTACTCACGACCACTTACCTCATTTTGAATAATGATTGGTGCTTAGGTTATTGTATACTGTGTTTAATTGATTGGTGTGTAGACTATCAGTGTATTCGTGTTTGTTTATTGTGCTTAGTCTGGTTTAAACAACTGAGGTGTATGCAGGTCCCTATCGAACAGGTGTTAACATCTCACTGCATGATTCCTTGCATCCTTTCGTTCAGTGATTTAATGTTACACTCGTGTTTCATTCTTGCACTGAGAGTCTTGTCTAGATAACATTTCGTCATGGTCATTACTTAAGTTCAAAAATCCTTTCTAGTCCGTGTAACTCCTTAGTGCTTGTCGTTCTACTGCTGGGTGTAACGAGGACAATCTACTTAAATCTTTTGTGCGTTAACTCAAGCAATACTTTGTAGGGAGTGGAAGTCCTGGTGGTCATAGCATGCATTGGCTTTGAAAGCACCTGTTGCAGTTTGTCGATATTTTCGTTGTATTTCGAAGTTCCTGCAGCTACCAGACTGATTTTCCAGGGTAGCGTTACTAACTCCACACTCAATCTCCCCTCTTTCCCCGGGACTTGGGACCTTCTGGAAAACTGGCGAACTAGTAAATTAAGCGAGGTTAAGTTTTACTAAGTAAAGTTGAAATCATAATGATTATTTAGTTTAGCAGTTTACAGGTGCATGTGAATATCATTTTCACATGTAGATAAAGCAATAAGAAGACGTAATTTGTCTGAATCGTGTAATGTATTTGCGCAACACACTTCGAACAATCTGATATATATATATATATATATATATATATATACCAAATAACAGAGGTAATAGTACATCTGCTATGGTATCAAAACAAAGTTAACCAAAGAAGGTATAGTGTAACGACGAATTTTTCTTGAACGCATAAAAGTGGCTTAAACTTTCTAATTGATAGGGCTTCCACAAACTTTAGGATACGCCCTCTCCCAAACACGTTTTATCGATAAGTTTAAAAGATGTGTTAACGTCAATTTTATGTCCTGTCTTTATAATATGTTTCGTAATAAAGGAGCTAGGTCGTCGTCTGTTCTCACCATTAATGGGTTCTGAAGATTCGATTTGTTTCTGGAGCCATTTAGGAATATGCTATGATGCCAGCTCTTACTTGCAGAGATCAATGAGTCCTCCCTATGTATGTGTGTCCACACGTACATTCAAATTGGTAAATACACTGGGATGTAACATCATTTTTCGCACGTTCAGAGGGCTTACATGGATATATTGGCTTCACATTCTCAGTTATTATGATTTTAGCTGCATAAAAAGTCTTTTTAACAGCAGCTTTCAATCTCTGTCTAGTTATCAAGCTGCTTTGATGCCCCATATAGGGTAGCTTGATGTACACACCTTGCTTAGGGGCGAGTTGGAGAGTGAGTCTTGGTGTTCTGACTACTTTATATCTCCCGATGAACTTGTCTGGATAATTGTTATCAACCAGAGTTTGTGTCAACTTTCTTTCCTCTTCATCAAGTGTGTCTTCAGTGCATATTCGTTGAATTCTTCTGAAGAGGCACCTTACTAAGGCTCTTTTGTAGCGAACAGGGCAGAAACTGTGGTAATTAAGACACTTACCTGTTCAGGTAGGTTTTCTATAAGTAGATCGTTTTATTGATCCATCAAGCAACCGACTAAGCAATATATCTAGGAAAGATAAAAAATTATCTTCCTTTTCTACAGACGTGCGTGATATGCTATTCTGAACTTCATTCACTCGATTCAAAAATTAGGTGATAGAACAAGGCTTATCACTTATGATTACAATGTCGTCTACATACCTTCTATAAAGTGGCATATTTTCGATTGAATCCTCCAACAAACTCTCGATGTATGGCATATAGATATCTGCTAAAAGGGGCCCTAACGGACTTCCCATAGCGACACCATCAACCTGGCGGAAACAACCGTCTTCAAATGTAAACCTAGCATTGCTCGTACATAGAAGTAAATCCCTTATATGAGATTTGGGGAACGGGATGAAAAAGTTAGGTATGGTGAAATGTAATCACACAAAATGTCAACTGTTTTAAGTGAAGGCACAATAGTGAATAACGAGTTTACATCAGAAGAGTACATCTTTTTATTCATAATATTAATATCGTCAAGATAATTAACCAGTTCAAATGTATCTTTTAATAGATGCTTACATAATTGTGTTTTGACTGGGTACAGTAATTCTACTAACCATTTAGCAAGTTTATGTGTTGGGGATCTGCACACTGACAATACACGACGTAGATGATTATAGGGTTTATGTGTTTTTAGTAAACCACACATACGTGGCAATTTACATTCTGAATAATAATAATAATAATAATAATAATAATAATAATAATTTGCTTTATTCCAAAACAGTACTTGTGAGACAGAATGGAATTCTCAGCATTTTTACTACAGTATAGCATCCCGTTAGTACATTATGAATAAATAGAATTCTACATAGATTAAGGAAATCTCAGTTCATTATGACAACAACATATTGGCATGTTGGTAGCAAAGCCAACGCTGAACAGTGTTTGAAGGTGTAAGAAAAGTAGGTGCTATCGTATTTTCTGGCATAAGCGAAAGAAAGAAACAAAGCAGCACATAACAGAAAAAAAGAGAGAGAGAAAAGGAAAAGGCAAATTACGTCTTCTTATTGCTGTGTCTAAATTCATAAAGGGAACTGTTTGTTTTAAATTTTCTTTTCTTCGTAACTGGCATTCCTAAGGCAAAGTTTTTTACCAACATAAATGGAAGATGAACACCAACTTGAAAAGTAAAATTATAGAAAATCTGGAAGCATGTTTGTCGACTGGCACTAGAATGTTGCTGAAATGAATGTCTACGATTACCCTGTATGGGTAAAGACGAACGAAGTTAAGAATGAATTTACAATCGATTGATTACTGAATAAACAATATTCACATTTTCGATGACCCCTTCTTCATCAAGTTCTACAGTTGTATATCCATAATAACGATGAAATAATTAGAATTATTGACAACATTATTGTTTGAGTAACATAGAGTTAATCAATAATATCAATAGATTACAGTTCAGTAGCATCTATATAAAACTACACAGGCATATTAGGAAAAATAATAATATAAATTCATGAATTGATAGTCTCCATTGCAATCCAGGGCAGTGGTAGTGGCTGCCTGGACCTGTTTCTTCTTCACACAGAGCACCGGCTATGTTTCTTTCAAATAGATAGAGAATAATCCTTTTAACTTTCTAAGTCATATATTTCCTAATGAGCTATTTTGGATAGCTATTTTCAATCAAGGTATCAAATACAATCCTCAGTTCATTTTTATTTAACTCTTCTGAGCATATAGCTCTAACCCTGTGTTTGAGGGTCGTTACTAAATTTCTTTTGTACTGGAGAAGAACGAAGCTATAAAAACGTGTATATTGTCCTGTCCATGTGCTTTTCCTATGCAAATTTTTTGTATATTGCCATTTGGTTTTCTTGTAAGGAGGACATCTAGGAAGGTAATTCTATTTTGGCATTCCTCTTTACACGTGAACTTGATTTTTCATGCTCGGGACAGCTAATGGTGTGGCTAAATAGAGGTATGGTGAAAAACATCAGCTCAATATTAGACCACCTGGTGCAAACCGACCCAAAGCTAGCATCGAAGAATCCTTCTCCATCATCCATCGGATACTAAATAAATTGCCAAAAGCATCCAGGTTCTGAGGACTCCAAACAGTAAAGGTTATCATGATTCGTTTGAAACAACTAGTGTTCTGTGTGTAGAAGAAAGAGGTTCAGCTAGCCACTACCAACACTGCTCTAGCATTCAGTGGAGAATATGAATTCATGAATTTGTATTATTATTTTTCCTAATTTGCCTGTGTAGTGTTATATAGATGTTAATGAACTGTAATCTATTGATATTATTGATTAACTCTATGTTACTCAAACAATAATGTTGTCAATAATTCTAATTATTTCATCGTTATTATGGATATATAACTGTGGAACTTGATGAAGAAGGGGTTATCGAAAATATGAATATTCTTTGTACGGTAATCAATCTATCGAAATTTCTTATAGGCATTTTTGATGAATTGAAATATACAAACACTATTCAATAGGATTATCGAATAAGCAGAGTATGTTTTAGGTTTTAAATCTGAAGAAATAAAATGGGTGTCATTTAAGTGTTAGAATACCTGAGAGAATTTATTTCTAAAGCGAAATATCTAATATGAAATTTTCGCTTAGATTATACAAAAGTAGATGTTTCTATTGACTATCGTGTTTAAGAACACTGAAACTCTTATCAAAGAAAAAATAAATCGAAATATGAAGAGATAAGAAGTTGTCAATTTCGAATGCCTTTTTTCTAGAGAGAGCATATGACCACATACTCATACAAGATAGATAAGACTGAGTTTATTTTACTTCTGAGGGAGTGGACGTCACTGAAGCACACATTTTATATTTTCTATCTATCTGTATAGAATGAAAAATAAATTTCAGAAACTTCAAACGAAACAAAAACTAACAGTATTTGAGGATTATAGTGGTTTGTTGCAACATTATCTGCATTAAGAATCTACTAAACATTCTAGGTGACTGGATATTGAGATATAAATGTTGGCCTTAGTCTTGAAATAGAGTGGAGAGATTTGGTTTGAATTTGAACAGCGAGTAGCAAG